TCGACTTTCCCATATTGAGCCAGAACGAAGAAAAGCTGTGCTTCCTGAAAGGAGCCGGTGCCGCCACGTTTTGCGTCGACGGACCCGAGTTCGCCTGTCTCTCTCTCTCTGTCTCTTCCCTTCTGTCTCACCATGCCCTTTCCCTTCAGGTGCTAGCGTGACGGCATGCGTGTCCTCAGCAGTGGATTAATCAATCTTCGTGGAAGTACTCCAAGTCTGCCATTTTGTGAATCATATTCTCAGGACTCAGGACAGTGCAACCTCTGGCACTGGCCTTTCAGCAAAAGGCCAGTCAATAGGTGGCACAAGCAACCCAGCAAGGCTACTCTGAGGCAGGAGCAAGGTATCTGCCTCAATTGCGAACAGTTTCGGAAGTATTCACCGTGAAGTCGCGAGACGTCATGAGATGAAAGCTCGGCCTAGTAGCTTCTAGCTACAAGTGGTACTAATGTCTTGTGTTGAATTCATCGTTCCACTATGTTCCACATGTCTGCACCAAACCGCCGCCTGTGAGTCTTGGCACTCCTTTCAGCAGCGCACAGTACTCCACTGAGTGATATGTGACTGTGTGCCATGGAAAAATGCACCGGTCCTTGCTCTCTCTCTGAAGCCTGAGTAGGTGCCAAATCTCTTTCACCTGACAAAAAATCAACAAACATGGATGATGAAACGAAATCTAAAGACGATGCAATTCCAAACGACAGACTTTTTGGAGGATCTGATTTTGACGACGCGGCCGCGGCGGCGCCAGGCTCTGCCGCTCTGCCTGGTTGCTCAACTGCGGATGCGCCTTAGGCCTCAGCATCAAGCGTCGAGGCCAGCCAGACCAATCATCGCTGCTATTCAAAGGGGTGCCTATAGCTGGCCTATCGCGTTGTGTTTCTTAACAGATTTTTTTGCTTTTTGGCCTCAGGTTTTTGAGCCCGAATTCCGCTCAATTTGCTAAATCAGTCATATGGCACCCTTTTTGGGCGGTTGCTCAAAATTGTTCTCAGAATATTGGACATGGGAGCCCGGACAAAGGTTCCAATACAAGGGCCAGGGAGTCATCGCTGCTGAAGCCTAGGGGAAAAAAAACGATGCGATCGATCTCTGCAATGATAGAGCGTGCGACACTCTTAGGTTGGAGGCCGCTATTGGGTTGGAGGCCGCATGGCTAGGTAGAGCGTGCGACACATGAAACCGAGTCGAAGACCATAGCGCTGGAAGACCTGGAAGAGCGGTTGGAAGGTTGCAGCACGCCAGCTTGGGAAGTTTCGGCATACTATGACGCTACGAACGGAGCAAAGGGCATCGCCACTAGGAACAAGAAGCTACTAGGGGCTCCTGGCATCGCTACTAGGAGCAAGGACGCTACAGAAGCTGTGTCAAAGTCCTTGGGTCCACAATGCTGAACCATGCTGCACCCCCTGCCCTTCAAAATCTTAAAGTGTTTCTCCATGCTCCTCAGCAATTGTAAAAAGGGATGTTCTTGTTAGTAACTGTTAGTAGCACGTGGTATGGGAGGGCCATGGCCTGTCCTCTTCAAATTCGTTCTTTGCTCTCAAAAAAAGTGTTCTTGTAAAATGGACAGAAGAAGTAGAAGTCTTTTCAGACTGGTCTTTCTCACTCTCTTCGTTCTTGAAGCACTTGCTACAACATACTAACTAATATTCTGTAGTATACTACTAGTAGACTAGGCTACTATAGTAATTTTAGAAAAAACGACTTCCAAAATCCATGAAGTGGCTGTGCCCGCGATGCGCAGCGCCTCGGCATAAACTCGTTTGGCCAAACTCTGCAGGCCAGGCATGTCCTTGAGCTCCTGGCCAAAAGGCAAAAATCACTAAACATTGCAAGAAGATGAGGAAAAAAACAACACACAGAAAGAATCCATCGCTTTTGAGGGACCTCTCACCCATCCTATCATTCAAGGAACTACAAGACCTAAAGCAG